CCCCCCCCCCCCCCCCCCCCGAGTCGCCTACGATCTCTCGTGTGTCTGCTGTGGAGCCTAGTGAGCCTTAGTGTCGTGTGTCATAGAATTAAAACCCCGATCCTGTCAAGATGACCTCTTCTACGCCTAAAACTATGGCAGTCTCGATCGTTGCAGGTACCAACGGCTTGATTCAACTCGGTCTATTGATCTCAGACCTAGCCTTGCTTATCGATCAAGGCAAGAAGTTCGGCAACTTTGTTCGCGCAGCACAGAATGAAAGCGACCTCTTTGACCTACTGAGTGAAGAACGGGAAGCTTTACTCAAAAGGGATGACCTTGTGGACGCACGTGAGATGGAAAAGAGATGGCCGGGGGTGAATTTTGTCTATCATGGTGTGAAGGTCAAAGGAAACATAACACAGAGTTTACAGACTGGATCATCGGTACATGACTCGAAACATCCGAGAAAGAAGACGACCACCCGAGACGATGTGAACGGTTTCACGTGGGTTATGGTAGCGATCACTTCAGCATTAGATGATTGTTTGCCATCAACTGAAATTCAAGAACTTCTTATCCAAGTCTTTGTTGAAGTTCTAGACCGCAAGAATGATATTGCGCTTGCGCTGAGAACACATATCAAGAGGAGTGTCGAGTCCTGGAGGTCGTTTGGGTGTGCTAGAGAGATAGCACACTCGATCAAGAAGGAGATGCGCAAGAGCCTGTCAAAAGGCGCACCTGATCAGCTATCGGTACACGCTGTCCCTCAGCTGAACGAAACGGAGACACAAGATGTGAAAAACATGCTTGTTTGGCTCCTCAGAGGAGATACGGCGGCATTCGATGCTATGTCTCCGATCGCCTTTTCTATGGCAGAGGCTTGGAAGCAGGTCGGGCTTGATCTATGTACTGATGGACTGCCTATCCGCGAAAGTCAAGCATGTGTTTTATATCGCCACGAAGACCAGCTTGCAGGAGGATTGAATTCAAGCGCGAGCCTGACACTTCAGATCTCCTGGCCTCGTGACAAGCCTGAGTCCATGATCGATGTACTTGGAGCTGGTCGTACTCTGAAAGATGCCATGCTGCAGGCTTGGCAATACGGAAAAGATGCTGCTGATCACCTGGAATAACTGGGTAAAGCAGATGGGCACTATGGACACACTGCTGAGGTGTGCTACACTATCCGAACCCCCGACGATGCACGTGTTAGCAGAAGATATGAGCCTCGTATTGGGATGCTCTCCAATCAAGGCTTCCCTGCAGATACCGAGAAGATTTATCATGCGTTAGAATGCGTGCTGGAGGGCGAGTCGGTAGATAGCCTATCATGGCTTCACAATCACGTTGCGCAGGACTATTTGCTTCGAGTTGACAGCACGAACGTAGCATACGAGCAGAAGCACAAGTCCATATACTTCAAGTATCAGGCTCTCATCTTCGGATTTTACTATCAACTCTTAAGACAACCTTTGTCATTTCATCTAGTCCAAGCTGAAGCTTTCTTTCACGGAGCATGGGGTGGGAATAGTACAACACTCCTGACTATGTGTACCCAATCTGGTCGCTGCCTGAGGATAGACGCAAAGGTTAGTCGAGCTCACGTCTTGTACATGCTTGCTGCAATGTACAACGGCTGGCCCAAAGTCTTCGACACGACATCAACGCTTCCTGGACTGACTGGTATCGTCGGACCTATCTCAGTACTGGCCCTGTCTCATATTCCCACTACAAACAAACCAAATGAGATCTCGCGGATCGCTATTGTCGATCTTCCAATGGTTTTCGATCAAAAGACCATACAAACCGGAAAGTGGTTGATGTACAACGAAGAAGAATCACCGTTTGCGCTTCTAGAACATGATTCGACAAATTTCGGGAGTATTACTAGCGGGACACCAGATCAGCATGAACCAACGGACATGGCGTACGATGTGTTAATGCGTCAAATAAGCGATAAGACTAACGAAGAAGATGATCGCATGGTGTTCACAACAGAAGAAGCTGTGCCACGAATCTTATCCGATGAAGGGAATACCTCCGACGGGTTGGAATCTCCGAAGATGCCTGCAAGGAACGTCATCGAGTCGCGAAAAAACCATACTCTTCCAGAACCTATATTTGCGTTGAGCCTTCCATTGCTTGTGGACAGGATTATGCAATACTTACCTCTGCCGACGTCGGAGCCAGAAGTCTCCCCAGGAAAGGTTCGGGTGCACTGGACTTCGGTATGTTCAATACAAAGTTCGTTTGACAACACGCTGACACTAACGATAGCGGGGTAAGCGTATGTACGACGATTTCATTGAGCTAGACTCTGGTGCTGCGGGCGAGCTTGAAAAGTTGCTGCGAGAGAGATACAGACCTCAAGAGAATGCCGGAACTGGTGGAGTGATGATATTCGGACTCTTTCGACATATGCTGGGCTTGTTCCGTCGGCAGAGCGAAGTCCAACAGCAGTCGAATCTAGACGCCGAACAGGGGGGGCATGAAATGCAGTCTGGTCCTGGTCAACCAATTCCAATTCCTGATATCGCGGTTTCTGAAACAGAGCATCAAGATCCAGAAGAGGAACTTGTCCGTCTGTTGATCTGTGTGAACGACAAGAGAACGAGACCGACGTTGAAGCAAGAGGTACTTCGGAGCATCAACGATGACCGTGAGTTGTTTCATCATCTACGGAAATGGTATTTGGTCAAGCGTAGATGGTTTACCTTACGAAGTCTTGGAACTCTTAGCCTGACCCAGGTATGCTTTAGAAGAGAAAACAAAACTCTTCTTAAACTAATCCTTTGACAGTTTGAAGTCAATTACAGTAACGCTGCCAATATCTACCGTCACGATCATGTGTGTGGAATCACAAGTGACGGGCACCACGATCAAGCTTTAGGGTTCTATTGTTTGTGTATCCCACCAGAAGAGCGAGTTGGGTCTGACAAGGAGTATCTTTGTTATCCCGCTCCAAAAGTCCGAAATCGGCGTTTGGTGCCTGTACTTGGCCCGGCGATGTTGAAGGGAGACTTCCTCGACCCTCACTCCATTGTAGCTGGCCAAAAGACGACCCTGAATCAATTACCCAAACGTCGACTTCCAAAAGAGCTTAAAGCAACCCCGGAAGAGATGGCGACAGGATGGGGTCTCCACATCGAGGAAGACTGGCACTGGCCTACAATCTATTGTTGCCTCGTCGTCATAGTCCTGTTCAGCTTCATCTTTGGTATAGTTTGGTCGGTGAAGAGAAATGATTTACAGGGCGCGTTTGCTGTTTCAGGATTTGCAATCGCATTAGGCGCCATGTTCTTAGGGTACATGGCGATACCGAATGTTTAGACACATATTGGAATATGTCATACATCCGAGGTACGAAGTGCCCTGTACTGGATATGTTGTAATCTAGAACAAATCGTTTCATAAGCTTGCTGTATGTTGCTGGCGCTCCCCATATGAAAGAGTGAAAAGGATCAGAAATTGATGAGTCGGCTGGCGTGTTCCTTGATCGCGCGGCAGTTCATGAGTATAAGTTCACGGTAAAGTGATCATTTCGTCATGAAAGGCAATCCTCTGGCGCTCTCTAAGCTTCGATGAATCTACAGCTTGCTTCCGCCCGCTGCCTTCACAACAAAACCTAACTTGGGAAAATGAATTCTGACATCTAGCTCACCCATCTCGGCCGGCTTGATGACCACCTCTTCGCTTCCAATTTTGACCAAGATACCCATTGTAGGATTACCGCGGCCTGTGTCATCAGGCACGATGCTTACACCCACTCCCGGAACCAATCCTCTTGAAGTATCAAGGGCGATGTGTTGCCCCACCACCGTAGGAACGAGCAGATCTTCATCGCGTAATAAAGTTGTTCGTCTCAGCGCGTCTTTCCACCGAGTGTCCTCTCCGGGAACTGTTATTTGTAGATCCGGCAAAGCGCCGATGTACGCTTCGAATGCATCGAACCACGTCATCAAGCTTGGATACCTCTTCTTGTTGAACACTTGTCCCACAACATCATCATTTGTATCATCTGTTCCACCACCACTAAGATTGTTGATACCTTTCCCAGCAGCGATATCGATACCCCATCTCAATTGATAATACAAACTGATGTCAGCGAGCGAAGGTGTCCTCGTCGGCATGGCCCAAGTACCCGACCCGAACATAGGTTCCAACATGGAGAGGTGCAAATCTAGATTGGAAAGATGGATTGGTATCTTAGACTGCAACTTCTCAGGCGAGAGCGGATGTCCAATGAGCTGAGCGCGATCTTTACCAAAGTCTGAGGCCCAGACAGAAGAAGGGATAAATCCGGTAGTCGTCCGAAACAGCGGTTTGTCAGTCCAAAAGCTCGCGAATCCTCTTACGAGCCCACGATACGCCCATCCGCTTACACCTTCGATCGGCGGATACACGGTAGCCCAACCTTTGTCCACTGGGAAAAAGTGCTCTAGTGCCTCAATGATGAGCGAAGTGTCACAGTAGATCTCCCTGCCAATAGCGAGGATGGGTATCTTGCGGTACTGGAGGCCGAATGTTGATGTTATGAGGGGTCTGGGTAGCATCGATGGGACCGTGACATATGCTTCGGAACCAATGGTTAGTCACGAGATGTACGTGCTTCGATCGTCACGAGCAGGGAGAAGGCTTACAGAATGGTATCTGCTTGATGCGTAGTGCTAGTCTGACTTTGTTTGTGAAAGGGCTAGAATCATAGCCGAAGAGGACCACAGGTGGATGATCAATTGGTTGCGCCATGTTGCCTGTAGGGAAGCGACACAGACGGAGCTCTCACAGGAAGGCGTTCAATACGGCAAAGATATAAAGGAGTCGGTAATGCCGGGTCGAGATGAGGTTATACCCCGCGCTGTGCTCAAGAGCCGAGGTTCTAGTCAAGAGGCGAGAGAACGTATGCTTTGTGTACTGAATCTTTGTTAATTGTTGTACGTGTTCTGATGAAAACTACCCTCTAGGCCAGAGTCTTGATCTGCATTCAGAGTCCAGATGTAAGCCATAGCGACCCGGTCTTGTCTCTACCAGTGCACAAAACTGGAACGACACTATTTTGGGGTTGAAACATGCTTTTGCTGTGGTATCGAAATCATGTCCGTAATCTACCATAATGTGGGACGCCAAACTCCAAGACTATCTGGATGGTGCGACAGAGTCCTACTCGTCAACATCCATAGCCTCAACACCGCCACCAACCTTCCTCTTCATCATCATCTTCTTAGTCTTGCTCCTCGTCTTGGGTGTCGTCTCCTCGAGCTCACTGAGCTCGCTCTCCTCAGCCTCGAGCTCCTTCCTCCTCGCCGCAACCTTCTCCTTGACCTTCTGCACATCGACCTCCATGTCTTCCTGCTCAACCTCCTCCTTGGCGAATCGCTCGCTCGGTGGCAGCAGATGCTGGTTCTCCTCAACCAGCTTCCTGTCCTCCTCACGCTGCCTCTGCTTGTTGCCACGCATGCGGGCCTTGTAGAAGGCGCGCTCTCTCCTCTGCCGGATCTCGGATACACGGCCCATGGCCTTGAGGGTGGTCTGGATGAGATCGCGGTTGTATCGCACGGGCACGTTGCGGCGCTGAGCGAAGGTGAGGGTCGAGTCGACGGTCATTTCCTTGTTGTGCGCGCGACGGAAAGACTTTGTCCAGGCGAGCTTGCGGGGGTTGCGCTTCATCTTGAAGTTCTTGTGGCATTTTGATTTGCAGAAGCGGAAGGCCTTGGCATCATTGCGCACTGTGCAGGTTAGGAAAGAGCTTTGTTGATGCGATTTGGGGTCTTCATACCGAATGTTATGCCCTTTGACGGGTATACGGGCGAAGAGCAGAAGTAGCAGGTTTCGATTCTCATCCTGTCGTTGTGGCGCGAATACGGTCGCGCTCGGTGCTATGGCAAGGAAGGAATGCGATTTGGTTTGCAAGAGTCGACCACGCTTCACAGGTGTTGGCGGTGGTGAGGCGGCGTCGTGGAAAAGGTGTGGAGTTGAGGATCGAGAAGTTGGGCCGGCTCGAAATTTTGGGTGGCCCGTGCACGTCTACCCATCTGCCATTCTCGCCCGCCAATTGCGATGCATCTCGACCGAGACACCTCCGCAAATTTCCTTCCCACCACCTCGCCGCCGTCGTTGACGCATCCATCTGGCGTCGCCCCAATCTCCGCCTCCGCATCACGCACATCCACCACGTCGAATCTCGAGCAACCGAAACCACTTAGTACGACCGACACAATCACGAGACATGTCTGCCTGGGTCTGGATCTTGGGCGCTGGTGCCACTGCTTTCTTCGTATGGCTCCCCCATCTTTGCATTGGCGGTTACGGCCGACTTGGTTATGGAGCTGCAGGAACAGCTTGGAATGTCAAGGAGAAAAAGTACTGACAGATGCGAAAAGGGGCGCGCAGCACTTGTGGGACTACGAAGATCAGGTGGTGGTGCTGGAGCATTAGGACGTGGATACTACAAGGGCGGCTTTGAGCCCAAGATGACACGGAGAGAAGCCGCGCTGATATTAGAAATGCCGTATGTCGACAAATCCACACAGCCCACCAAGAGCACACGAGACTGACATTACCCCAGCGAACGCGGCATCACAAAAGAACTCCTACGCAAGAAGCACCGGTCGCTCATGCTTCTGAACCACCCGGATCGAGGCGGTAGCCCATACCTGGCTACCAAGGTCAACGAAGCGAAAGAGCTACTCGAGAAGGAGGTTAAGGGATGAACAAGAGGGGGATGATGTGTATACCAAGACTTTGTACTATATCACGGCATGATTCCCAGCATCAGCATGGCGTTGGACTGAATACGATTAGCGATTTACGACTCTTAACACGTTTTCTTTGGTTCCAACTTTATTCAATTACATGTGGTGAACATGTGCTAATCGTCATAGTTTCCACGAGCGCGCTACAATATCGTCTACACTGGCAACACAACTTTGACTCCCATGTACTCTCGCTGATGCATGATCTTACCGTCAATGATGACTTGGTGCACGCCGACACGATTGTGAATAGTGTCTGTAGGATCTGTCGCCGTAGCGATCTGAATCTCACGCCACTCGCGATTGGTAGGAACCAGTTCGCCCTGTAATGTGCGCTTCTTGAACTCTTTGTAAATCCCCTGGTCCTCAACACAACCTTCACGCTGTATCAGTGGCGAATCTGCGATAATCATTAGCATCTCGGCTTGCAGACGACTAGAAACTCGACATACTGTAGGCAGGCGTCATGCGCAGACTGCCAAGAGAACTGTTGAATAACACGAGTGAGAGGCGATCTTGGTTCAACTGATCCACGGGCGGCTTAAAAACCCGGTGTCTGGTAGCCTTGAAATGCCCGCCCGAAACGATCTCCAGCGTATCACCGATATTGATGACGAGCGCACCAGGCTTGTATGGCACATAGTACCACTTCTCATCCTGTCCCCAGATCTGCAAGCACGAGATCGGGACAGAGAATAGGAGCGTCGTGAGTCCAAAGTCGGTATGGCCATGCATACGCAGACCTTTGGACGCTTCCTGTGTCTGCTTCTGTACTGGACGGAACAGCGCATGGCGGAAGTAGCCCTCGCCTGTGGGTCCATCATGAGACTGGATGTTGTCCCAGAGGTAGTCGTCGGGCAGTTCGAGCACTCGAGAGAAGAGAGTCAGAAGACGGCGATTAACGGATTTGGTGAGGTAGTTGCAGAATGCTTCAATCTCATCCATGAACGGGTACAGGCATTTGGGCGTACGGCTCATGTCTTGCCAGTCGGGTTTGTACCAGTTGAATTGCTCGATGCCATCGGGGGTTCCACGGTGACGCTGGCCTTGTTATTAGTCTTCCAGCATTGGTTAATAGAAGACATGATGCTAACCTTGAACCCATATGGATGCTTGTAACCAGACCATACACCAGTCTCCGGATTAAAGAGCAGACGCTCCTTGTCTTCTTCACCTATGTTCTCGTATAGATACTGTGCAAGAGCGAACTGTCTGTGCAGTTGTTGCAAGGAGACGCCGTAGTTCTCCAGGAATAGGAAACCATCTTCTCGGATAGCTCGCTTAACCTGCCCAACAAGGTCATCGACAACTGCTGGATCATCAGAGTCCATTAGAGTCAAGTCGATGGAAGTGAGCTCGGCAAAGTCTTCTTTCTGTTGAGTGACTGGTGGAGGAACCCATTCTGGTACGAAGGGCTTGCCAGGAAGATTGGCTGATGGGGGATTGAACTTAGCGGCTGGTGCCATGACGATCGATGTATTGATGAATCTATTGAAGGTGTTGTGTATAAGACTAAGCTGATCGCTACATATCCTTTGAGCTTGGAAATTGAGTCCTTATGTTCTTGAGGCAGATCCTAGTGTAACCTCGCAGCTGTCGTCAGGTCCGACTTTCAAGGATCGAGCTCCTCCTCAGCCAGAACCATCATCTCATGGATGGCTCAAAGGTCATCATACGACTGCGTACGGTCCGGCGACTGGGGGCCGCGGCCTTTGCTAGTAAACGCAATCAACAAAGCGGTCGAAGCAGCGGCACTCCGACTATGCGACTCGAGTCCGGATCATCACCTATCTCCGCCTCCACCTTTGCTTTCTACATACCGAAATCTAGATGAGACCAATCATGTCAAGTTCATGGATGAGAAACATACAGTGTTGCGATGGAGGAGCGATTGCCAACGGAGGAGCTCCTCCCCGTTGTGGGGCCGTGGGCTAGCGCGCCCTGGTGGCTTCGTCCTCCACATCCTTGGAGCTCCTCATCCCTCCACCAAGCTTCAGCGTAAAGTAACTGCTTTGAATAATGACGAGCTAATGTAAGGCTATATACCCAGGTATTACAGTATGTGGCTCTATACCTCCAGCCTCGCTTTCACAGAACTGCTTGCGTCCAGCTTGACGAGATCGACCACTTTTCTTCCGAAGTCACTCCTATCGTACCGCCATCATGTCGCGTCAACTCATCTCCAGCGAGAAGTTTCCCACTAAACCACACAATTGCCCCGCCACGAAAGTCCCAGGGCTAGTCTTCTGTGCTGGACAAACAGCTACTGGAGAGATCAAGCAAGCCACAGTAAGTTTTCCCATCGCGTATCACAGCTTTTCATCATTTAGCACGTACTGACTCAACCCTAAGAGAAAGGTTCTCCAAAACCTCAAAGAGGTTCTCGAGCTATCCGGTTCGTCGCTTGAACAGGTTGTCAAATATAATGTCTACCTTGCAGACATGAAGGATTTCGCGGCGATGAATGAGGTGTACATCGACTTTTTACCTCAGCCGATGCCTTCGAGATCATGCCTGCAGGCGTTACCTCCTGGTGATGGCACCGTGATTGAAATTGAGTGCATAGCCCAAGTTTGAATTGGGGCGGATTGAGTGGGAGCATTGCGATGGTCACACGGCTTAATCGGTGCGCTTACGAACCTGCATCCGGCGACAACTCTTCGTAGAGGACGTAGGCTATATATGCTAGTCGACGCAGGTTCACAAATTGACTGTCATCAAGAATTAAACTTCTTGGAATCAAAATGAATAAATAAGAGAACTTTTCCTATATTTGACCTGCCAGTACTGATATCTTCCTACCGGAACGAACTTTGCTACTAGCAGCAAAGACGTTGAAGAACTTAAAATACCCTCAAGCACATGCTGCAGATATTGGAAGCTCAAGCAAAATATCGAATGAGAACTTAGGCTTGAGGCATGTGCTTAGGTGAATACGAGCAATGATAAGAAGTCATGTGCAGCTATCAAAAGCTTCATAAATGAGTCCAATGAGAGCTATGGGGTGGAGGCAGCTCCCAAAGGTCGTACAGAACCATATGATGAACTGGTAATATATTCGATTATTATCCGCATCTATCTGACGATAACTTTTATTCGACTCCGCATCTTATACGTTCGATCTCGCGATCTCGAATTCGGCCATGTACCAGTTCTGTATTGCCTTCGTGTCTCCAGTGATAGCAACAGTATCGTACCTTTTCCTCGCCTCCCTTGCGGCAGTCCCATTGTTCACCATTCTTCCAGCCCACTTCCCGTGTTTGCGAGCAGCAGAGACTATCTTGTCGACAGCTTGAACGAACCCTGGCTCGTCACCACGTGCAGGGGTATAACCAAGGAGAGATTGCGCGAGGTCGTTGGGTCCAATGAATATGAGATCAACACCCGGAACTGCAGCGATGGCGTCGACATTATCAACTCCAGCACGTGTCTCGATTTGGATCATGGTGATGATTGTCTGATCAGCCGACTTCATATACTCGGGTGTTGTAAGGCCATGGCCAATAGCTGGAAAGGCCGAGCCTTGACCACGAACACCTTGTGGCGGAAATTTCGAGGATGCGACAACTTGTGCGGCTTCTTCTGCGGTGTTGATCTGAGGAACCATAAGGCCATGCGCCCCAGTGTCTAGCGCACGCTTGAGTATATCGTGTGTCGGTCCGCGAACACGTATGATCGGAGATACGCCCAGAGCTGAGATAGCGGCTACTGAGTTGTGCATGGCGTCGTCTCCGATATGACCATGCTCACAGTCGATGATGATTCCATCGAGACCTGTCAATGCAACGATTTGCGCTTGCCGAACAGAAGGTATCGCGACAAAAGTCATCAGCGGAAATTCGCCGCTTCTGATCTTATTGAGAAGCCTCAGACGAGGGTTCTGGATTGTTGTTGTCTGCGCTGTGGGATAGCTCATGATGTAGGATGGGGTTGGCAGAATACATATCAAGAATATAGTAGAGAGAAAGTGCTGAGACGGGGTCTTGATGTCACTGGGATGACGGGAAGGTAGATGTCATGTTGGTGCATAGGTCGACACGTCCACTTAAGTAGCATCACAGCCTCTGTCGTTCCATCGAAATGATGCTGCTATCGCATGCGATGTGCAGTTTGTGAGGAGCAAGTTGGTTCCACTCGAGATGCCGACCATAATGGAGTGTAGGTTTGCTCCGCTCGGAGGAGAAGAGAGGAGCTCCTCCCATCGGGCCCGCTAGCTTCATGCAGTGACCACGAGTCATACAAGCATTACCCCTGATCTTACTTTCTTACGCAGATAAGCACACGATAATCGGAACCCACCAGTTCGGAACGTACCTCAGCTCGGGTGCTCCTCTCAGTGTCATGTAGTCTCAATCAATGACAATACTATGGCATAGCTGCTATAAATCATGACATATTGTGACGAGATATCGGTCGTCTCTCATCGGCATCTTTACAAGCTGTAGTTACATTTTTCCTGGCCTCATCGTTACATTTGAAGCCACGTTGTGCGACAATGGAGACTGAGATGAAGAAGCTCGACCTAGTCGGAACCGCGGATACTGATGTCGAGATAGGCATTATCCACAACAAGCGTATGCCACATTCCCTTCGCAATCTAAGTCAAGATGAGATCTCGGATCTCAACCGGAAGCTTGTTCGCAAAATCGACTGCATCGTCTTGCCAATCATTGGTATCCTCTATATATTGAACTACATCGACCGTCAAAACTTGGCTGCAGCGAAGTTACAAGGTATCATGGAGGATCTTGACATGACAACTCAACAGTTTGCGACGGCGATCTCGATCCTCTTCGTTGGGTACCTCCCTTTCCAGATTCCGAGCAACTTGGTAAGCTGTGCCTACACAAAACGCATGCGAGACACACACTGATTTCGTACCTCCATGTTTACAGATCATTGCAAAGATCTCGAGGCCTGGACTTTACATCTGCGTGGCTGTGGTCATCTGGGGGTCGATTTCTGCTGCGACGGCAGCTGTGAAGACGTATGGTCAGTTGTTGGCTGTACGCGCTGTTCTCGGGGCGGCAGAGGCTGTGTGAGCCAACCACTAAGACATTCGAAAGATCTACGCTGACTCTAATACTTTGTTCTAGATTCTTCCCTGGAGCCATGTACTACTTGTCAGCATGGTACAACAAGACTGAACTTGGGAAGCGCACCGCGGCCTTGTACATTGCGCAACAATTCGGTAACGCATTCGGTGGCCTCTTTGCTGCTGGTGTCTTCGAGCTCGATGGAAAGCATGGCATCCGTGCATGGCAATGGCTATGTAAGTAGACGAGCGTCAATGGCTGCATATATCTGACAGCGCTGACGTATCTCTAGTCATCATCGAAGGCTCTGCTACGGTTGGCATCGGCGGAATCTGCGCCTTTCTTATGCCAGAATTTCCACATAATAGCAAAATACTCTCCCCGATTCAGCGTGATCTTGCAGTCTGGCGCATCGAATCCGAGTCGGGCGCTGCAGAGGGTACCGAGAAGGAGAGTGTGCTGAAGGGCTTCAAGATGGCGATTAGTGACCCAAAGTTGCTGCTCCTCATTCTATGTAATCTCCTCTCGCAGGCGCAAGGATCGATCGCCAACTACTTCCCGACGCTGGTCGCCTCTCTGGGTTACAAGGGTAACACCAGTCTTCTACTGACTGCCCCACCATACATTCTTGCAGGCATCGTCTACTACGGACTTATGTGGTACTCTGATCGCAAGAACGTAGCGTATCGCATCATCCTTGCGTGTATCGCCATCGCTTGTGTCATGTATATCATACCCATGACGACGTTGAATGTCGGTGCGAGGTACTTCTCCATGATGATCCTCCCCTTCGCCTCCGTCGGACCACAGCTTGTACTGTACAAGACTATCAACCTACATCTTGCACGCCCAACTGCTAAGCGTGCAGCAGCGTCAGCGCTAGTCAATGCCATCGGTGGCACCTCCAATATTTGGGCCTCCTACCTCTACTACGCTCCACCACAGTTCTACACGGCCTTCGGTACGCTGATGGGCTGTGCGTTGGCATTTGCAGCTACCATAACCTTCTACCGTTGGCTTGTTCGTCGAGAGAACAAACGCCTCGACTCTTGCGATCCGGACCAGATTGCGAAGGTCATTCGAGGTGGCGTCACAGAGGAGATGGTACGACTCAACTGGCGGTACGAGATGTATTGAGGGCGATCGTCGTAGTAGGTAAGGGTGTCATCCAGCGGATCGATGATGGTTATAGTTGTGTTCGTGGTGGCAGTAGTTAGTTGCTATATAGTTTGGAAAACTTGAGTATGACAACTGCGACCTCTCGCGTGTAACTATGGTCTTGTCCCTGACTCGATACCTCACCTGTCCATACTCTGGCATCTCAAGTACAATTTCATGACGACCAAGGGCAGTAATGATATTATTGCATGACGTTCAGCCAGTGATGTGATGTGTAAGGACTTCGCGGAGCGGCGGTGTACCACTGTTCAGACGCCGATCGGGCCGAGGTCGCCATTCCCCAACCACCCCCGCTTCCTTCTCGCAAGCCACTGACCATGACTTCCCGTCTGCATCCCCTAGGGCCACGAACCATCTCGACGCTGTGGGTCTGGGAAGTGCATATAACCAATTGCCGAACGATGAATTGTATGAGCAACGACGCGCCTCTAAATGCCCGTAGGGGCCTATCCGATAGGACATACCCCTGCTAGTGGGAGATAAGCACAATTACCTTGGATGCAAGTACTTCTTGAAGTGAATGAATGAAACGCATCTAGCTGTTACCGAAATCTCTAGCAAACATCATCAGTATGGCATCCATAGGTGTAGCACCTCATCCTGTCAAAGAACAGCCATCTTTCCAGCCCTTCCAATGTCAAACCTGTTAAAGTCGCTTTACACGACACGAAAACCTCAAAAGACATGCTGCCCTCCATGCACGTACTCGAGAAGGGGCCTCCTTGGCCTGTCACTTCTGTGCAGCAACATTTTCAAGATCGGACCTCCGACAGCGGCATACCAGAAGAAAGCATCCTGACTAGCAAGCCCGCCAGCTCACGAAGCAGTCGAGAGTACAGCCAGATGGAGTCTCACCGGTCTCGGTTCACGAGCAACAAAGGAATCTTGTGTCAGTTACACCGGATGATATGGGCGACCTCGATCTTGACACAGCATGGCGGACTATTCTTGATGGCCACAGCCAGCAGCACAACTCTACGACAAATCATGAGCTTGGGGGCATCGCAACATCAAACAAGAGTGTGGCTTCCGTCTTCTTACCAGAACAGTCGATGAGCAACATCGACGTCACCCTGCAGAGGATTCTAGCGACAGAGATGGACCCACGGCTGGAAGTCACACATATGCAAAGTCTTCAATCCAACACACTTAGTGACAACCTCGATCTTTCCAGCCTGTGCAGTTCCAGCGGGTGGTACTCAGGTGATTCACCACAACTGCAAGATGACTGGAATAATTCCACAGCGCAGGTTGCCCAAGGTATCGAGTTGTTCTTCATCCACCTGTCTTCGTTCCTGCCGTTCATTCATCGGCCAACATTCGATAGCAATAGAGCTGATGAAAGTCTACTCTATGGCATGCTTGCTCTTGGGTATCAATATGGCGAAGATCCGGACGATCAAGAGAGAGCTTCATCCGGTGCTAGCCTATCCTTAAGATGCTATTACCAATCTCGCGCGTTGCTCAAATCCAATAACGACGAAGAGACGCTCGGCAATCCTCAGAGAATAATGACCGTGCAAGCCTATCTTCTACTACAGGTCCTGACTATGATGTATCTCTGCGGAACATCGTCAGCGTATGGCTTGAAGATACATTCGAAGATCGTCACGTTGGCGCGAGCGGGTAGACTTATGCAACCACTACCAGCCCAAGCGACTGCAGCAGCAGATTTAGAATCTCTCTGGCATCAATTTGTTCAAAACGAAACGCATAAGCGAACATGCTTTGCCATACATCAGATGGATGCTTTGTGGTACCAGGCGCTTTCGGTCCCCCGATCATTATCGCATCTAGAAATCAAACAGGAGTTGCCTTGCGCAACAGATCACTGGACAGCACCAAACTCTGGCGAATGGGCACACAAGCAATTACTCCTGAGACAGACTGGCCCACCAACACAATTCTCCGAAGTAGTCAAACAGTTCTTGACTTCCAGTCCGGATCTACTTACATTGTCTCCATTCGACCCTTATGCAACTATCAACATAAATCAATTCCTCATTTCCAGTGCTAGAGAGGTGTCTGGTTGGTCTACGATAACAGGTATTCTGAGCACAGACAGAGTGGAGCCACTCAGGTCCTCTCTTGTTGCGCTAGAGCCTTTTGCTCGGGCACGCGGAAACAATTCAGACCTAACGCAGGCTTCGCTGAATGAAATCACCTGGGAGACGGCGATGATTGAATTACAAATGTGGTCACCTACACACACTAGTGGTATCATCGAAGGGAGCATAGATGCAGTACTGTACCAGCTTACAGACCATGCGCCGTCGTGTGAGTTTCTTTGTGAATCACGCATCTCAGACCTGGTTCAACCACATGTCGATTGGTTTCTGCGGTACCTGGATGTGACCACATCGCCAGAAACCGAAGGACCCTAGGTTCTTCTCTATGCTTACAAAGCCTTCATGATTGCGTGGCAGCTTGTTCGCCGCTGCAGGGTAGGATCCATGCGGGTCGTTCAAGTGCAGGATGGCGATACGCAAGGTGCACTTGCGTGGGCCCGGAAGGTCTTTAGACGACGGGGGCGCTAGCAGCTCGGTCGGGTTGCGTTGAATTGTATAGACCGACTAGAAGCTAATGTACCAGTAGAAGCTTGTAAGTAAGTCTGTCAAGACATTAAAGGCTTGGCCTTACTTATGGTTCCATCGCTACCGCTTCGATCCCGAACATGCACCTTCCGCCACATGATGTGGGAGAACAAGCGAGGTGCACTTTCCAATCGCTTTACATGATGTTTCGTCAATGAGCACCAAGGCGTGTTGGGAGTCGAAAGGATTTGGTGTTTTGTGAGTGACAGAATGTGAAGAGGGATGAGCAAGTCAATCAAACATGAACCAACGAACCGCGCAAGACGAGATCCGTCATCGAAGGGTGTTGGAACGTGATTGCGATTTATTCTGCGCTACCCCTGATTTCATCTGAGTATGAGTCAAATTACTCTGAGAAAGCTCTTAATCATTACCCTTACACCCATTCGTCCATCCTCCTGCAGCTTTGACCACCTTGTTGTTGTTCCAACAGCGCGCGCGAACCCAGATTGGCGTACTGAAGGTAGCGTACCATTCGTGCCCATCATGATCAGCCGGGTTGTCAAAGTACTCGAATTTCCAAAACGTCGTACCGAGTCCATAGCAACTGTCCATGTTAGGCCGAAGAGTCTTTCCGCCATGATCCCAAGTGGCAAAGCCAGCACCCTCAACCTTATAACGTCCATGGGTCCCCTTGTACCAGCCCTCGCATCGGCCGTAAGGATTTTTAGGCCATGGCCAGGGGCGGTTATTGCGGCGAGGGTGGAGCTCATATTTGTAGTCTCCGTTGTCACGAACGTATCGCCCGCCACCCTTCCAGTTCATTGGGTTGTCAGATGTGTCGCATGAGTTCATAAGCTTCTTCATCGAATCGACACATTGGTCTTGATCGAATGCCGAGGCGTCATTCCCCAGTGTGACGACATACTCGTGCTCTTCCGGTGTGCCTTCGTCGTAGATTTTGGAATAGCTCCAGTTGATCTTGTTAGACGAGTGATTTTCAGCGACCTCTTTGCAGAAGCCTTCGTAGTTCTCGTTGGTGCGATTTCCACTGACGTAGTACTTACTGCCAGTCTTCGAGAAACAAGTAAACTCGTCCTTGACAGTTGCTTCGCATGTAGGCGAATCGACACCGAGGACGATGGCACGCAGATCCATAAGCTCAGCGAGTGCAAAGGAGGCTATAGTGAGGTGACCGGCTTCGTTGGGGTGAAACTACACGTGTCAGCGAGGTGAACATTGTCAACCACTCGCGTGAGTGTGAAGGATACTCACATTCTGGCCCACGCGGTCGGGCATACCCATGCCCAGAGTCATGTCGAAACCGCCGTCTCCAGGGCAGGCTGGTGGCGAGGGCGCCCGCGGATCCAGCTTGTGCCTGACGGCAGCACGCGGATCAGGTGACTTGTAAAGAACTGAGTCGTACAGTGTGCGTTCGATGTTCCTGTCACGAGTCTCCATCATGGCCTTTAGGCGGTTGACGCGACGTTTTTCCGAACTGGATAGTCTCGTCGAGTTCAGTAGTTCGTCGAGATCAATGTCGCGCCTGCGCAGCTCCTGCCGATCGAAATCATTTTCCCAGCCACCCCAGGGATGCGTGTCGGGCTTGATAAAATGCATGTTTGGTTGTTTGGGATCTGGATAGTCGCCATTGCTACTCGGGGAGCACATTCGGGCGTCGAGCTCTTTGGATACCCAGTCGTCCCATTCAGCATAGCCGACCTTATAATTGATCTTGTCGCTTTCAGAGGCCTGATCCACAGCCTCACGGATGGCCTTGTTGATGTCAAGGACGAGCTGGTTAAAAGTATGACGACGAGCCTTTGTGAGCGCCTCATAGGTAGAGCCTAGCGGAAGAAACCAAGCAATATCCCACGACTGACGATCACAATTGTCTTCGGTCGTGTCAAAGAACTGGGCGTAGCTATTCACGACCACGATGCCATCTTTGTTCATCTTCTCATCTAGCGCCTCCAAAATCTGCAGTATGTTGTCCGTAATGATTGACTTGACATTCTCTTGGGCCTTGGCGATGACCGTCTCGCAAGCAGTGGACTTGCCGTAGGGTAACATGATGCAGTCCGCGATGATTTTGGCCAGACACAGGTCGTTTCCGCCAGAGGTGAAAGTGACAAAGTCGAGCTCGCCTTTCAGAGCCTTCGCCTGTTGGTAGATTTGTTCTGAACGGTCGCCGCTGCAAGCAAGGTATTGGAAACCGCCGTCCTTCTCGACATGGGAGCCAAACTGGGCCTCGATGACTTTAGGGTATGCCATATCATACCTAGAGCATTTCCAGTTGTCGCGAACTTCTTCTAGGCCAGTAGGCGCTGTAATAGCCACTTCATCGGCGGTGATTCTGTGACCCAGGGGTCTGCCGGCACCAATGCCAGCCGTGTAGCTGTCACCGATAGCTGCCCAGCGTTTGATCCATTGCATACTGCTCGGATCGTCATCTCGTTTGGAGAGTGGCAGCGGGGCCGAGGAAGCAGACTGGTTGGTAGATGATGCACGCTCTCGGTGGAGTTGATGTTCTAAACTTCTACTTTGTCTTCCATGATGCGAATGATGTGGTACGTAGCAGTTGACCATGCCGAGCAGGATCATAAGGCTGAAGACTGACTGAGAGACCATGACGGCTAGTAAAGCTGGCCCAAAGTGAGCGACATGAATGTGTATGGAGGAAGAGATCAAACGTCTAAGGCCAGAGTTGTGTGTAGGTTGGACTGATTGATAGGCTGTGAGCAGGTGGGGAGAAGCCCCAAGTGACAAAAGGGAAAAACTCGCACAAGGTGCTCAACCGTCCAGGAACACCTATCTCGCCTGGAAATAGAGCTCCAGAAGGCTCAGCCAAGACTCGTTATGATTACGTCCAAGACTTGTGGTCTGGTGAGATCCTTCTCGGTCAAAATGTCAAGATGCAGATTGAAATCTCTAACATGTAGATACAAGTACTACGACGAAACAGGCAGGCAGATAGTATGCGACATGGCCTGCCCGTCTGTAGTATTTGAGTTTTTACTATGCTGGTTTGACCCCTAGGTCCAGAGCAGGTACGCCATCCAAGGATACAATTGACATTAATGATCCTGCATGTACTACGTATGGACCTGCAGCAAGGCAAGTAGTAACTAGCACGTTATGCAGAGTCGCGATGCCCGATACGGGCTGAAGACCGAGCGACACTCGGCGGCTGAATACCGCCCGAGCGGGCTGATATTAGTGGCGTCTGGTTCCTGCAGGGACCCGAGGTCCATGCCGACCCACATAAGTAATTTAACCCCATCCTTCGTTCATCTTGGCACATGTATGTTCAAGGAACAGAAACCGACACTAGATGGCGTCTTTATTCATTGACATGCTGCGATAGTACGCGCCTTAGAAGACGACAATGTTGAGGTACCCCTGATGTGCCCATCCGTCATTGAGCAGCGAATCCGGAAGTCGCCCTGCTTGTTTCTCTCGCGTCCCACGATTGTCCAACTCTCACCTAATTAATCACCCTTACAGCTTCTTTCATCGAGTGTTGTCCACTGTTGACTGCGCTGAAAACTTGCTAGTCACTGTGCGGATTTCTTTTTTGGAAAATATTTCGGCAATCATCATGGCTCCTAAGGATGCCTCACTCCGGTGCCTCTATCTTGGACTTAGCCTCCTATTGACGGTGCAGGCGCTCAATTTGGGTTCCTTCGGTGGGCAGGCAGAAACCAAGTCACTGTTAGAGAGCGTCGCTGGTATGGAAACAACACCGCAGGCTCGAGAAATGCTTCTGCGGGCGATCAATAATCAGCCCGACTATACGTGCACCGCAACAAAGCCTTGCGACTTGGGTTGTTGCGGCCCTCTGTGAGTGGAAGACATCCACGGGTTTCTAAAGAAAGTTGGTTAACAATCGTGGTTAGTGATGCCACCGGTACTGGTGTTTGTGGTTTTGGCCCCGTATTCTGCGGCCCCAAATGTACGAGCGACTGCGAACGGAAATCCGAGTGCGATGGCAACAACTGGGGCCTCCAGTATGCCAACTTGACCAAATGCCCGCTCAACGTGTGCTGCAGTGAGCACGGTTTCTGCGGTACGACAATCGATTTCTGCGGCCCCGATCCTGTACCGCACCCTCAGTGCGATCTTTCCAAGCGGAGCGCCGACGCGCGTACCATCGGCTACTACGAGGGCTGGAATTATCAACGTCCATGTGGTAACATGGAACCTGAAGAAATTCCCTTAGGACACTGGACGCACATCAACTTTGCTTTTGCGCTGATCAACCCCAAAACGTTCCACATCGAGGACATGGATCCTGGCACCGGATCACGCTATGGTCGTGTGGCCGGACTCAAGGAGAGGCAGCCTGATCTCAAGGTCTGGATTGCTGTTGGAGGGTGGGCAATGAATGATCCTGGACCTTATCGAACAGCTTTTTCCGACTTAGCTGCTAGTGAGGCCAATCAAGATAAGTTTTTCGATTCGCTTTTGACTTTCATGGAGAGATATAATATGGATGGTGTCGATCTGGATTGGGAGTAGTAAGTGATTAGACCTATGTCGTGTTTCGTACATACACTGACCTATGCGCTCTAGCCCTGTAGCAGAAGATCGAGGCGGTATCCCCGCAGACTTCGACAACTATGTTAATCTCCTCAGACGTTTGCGCCAGCGCTTGAATGCTTCCGGTAGAGAGTACGGCATCAGTTTGACACTCGTAAGTGGCCAGCCTTCATGGTACTCCGCTTCCACGTTGTTCCACCGAAGCTGATCCCCCACAGCCAGCTTCTTACTGGTATCTCCGTGGTTTCAATCTCCAGGAGATGGAACCATACCTCGACTGGTTCAACATGATGACGTATGACATTCAC